TTTATATTTGGGTTACCTATAACATTCTCATTTCATTCAGAAGNAATTTTAGTAATGAACTTTAAACATTACTTTATCTGAAAATATTAGTATTTGTTCTTAAATATAAATTAAAATATATTTTTATTTTATTAAAGTTCTATAGAAAGCTTCTACAATTTGAATAAAGTAAATGAAATGTCAATATATTTATAATTAAATTAAAGCTAGACATTTTTGAAAAATTTATAATTTTTTTTTTTAATTGAAAAGGGATTTAACTTGTTGTAGACTTTGATGATATAAAATTCTATTAATAACACTGAATGTAAACAACAAATATAGTTGTCTTAGTCTCGTAAATTCTTCAAATAGACATGTAGACAATAAAAAATAGTTTTTTATATATATATTTTGTTTCAAAATAGAGTTGCAATGCAAGATTGACTTAAGAACTAAAATAAGGAGGAAACAGTCTTTATAAAAATTGTAGAGAACATTAGTAAAATCTTGTACAATAACAGTGTGATTAGTAAATCTTTCATTAGAGATCATTTACTTATTTTCTTTAATATTTTTTTTTGTTGTTTTTTAAGTGTTTGAGTTTTTTGTCTTCTGATTATTTTTATAAAGTTGAAGCCTTATAGATGAAATTAAATAATTTTAAAAAAATGTTGAATTTAATAGAACTGTGCTTATTAATCTACATGATGGAAGGAGTTTGTACAATTTTTGCTAGTAGAGAATAGGAAAGTAACATTAATTTGTGCATATATGTTCAATGCTATCTAATTTGTGCACCTGGAAGGGTCAAGTATAGTATTAATAATGATTAAAACATACTTTGTTCAGTTTCATACATTTCAGAAATATTTTTTTCTTGTGTAGCAATAACATGTTTGTTTCTTCAATGCAATTTACAATGCATTTTGGTATAAGGTTTTTAATTTTTAATAATATCATAAATTAATTATACAAATTGTTTTTTAATGTGTCAAAGACAGCATTATTGTTTTTAAGTATGACATTAATCTGAAAATAATGAGCTTTAATACATATGTACTATTTAATGTACAGATCAAACAGTTATTCTGCCAAATAATTTTTTATGTTTTTATGTATAGACAAATTTTACAATTGGTAGCACTTTGTAAGAAGAATTTGTTTATGTTAAACATTAGTGTTTGACTTAATGAATTGTTTTTCTGTGCTTGTAAACTCTGACATGATTATTGTCATGCCATGATGATTGGTAAGTGCTATCATATGACATTGTTTCATCTATTATTATATTTAAATTAATTCTGACCATGGTCTGGTTTTAGCAATAAGGTATCAAAAAGATTAGGGAAAAACCTTATTAAATCATGAGTTAAAATTGTTATTCAATCAATGATTATATTTAGAATAAATATAATATACTTTTGTCATAATCATACTATTTTTTAACTGAATAAAAAAACGTTTTTATTTTTATATTTTAGGTAGGAAAGTGAAAGTGAAAAGATCTATAGGATCAATACCACCACCCAAGCCTCCCAGTCCACAACCATATACAGCTAGACCTATAAATAAACCATTGTCAACCATAAATAGCAGCAATGGACATGTAAATCATTCCAGTAATAACAATAATGTCAATTCCAGACAGTTTTCCTATAATAAAAATGGAAATCCAGACATTATGAGAAAATCTTATAGGTAAGTTGAAGAAAAAATAAAAGTATCAATAAATTTACTCATTTTTCCTTGTAATAAATGAAAAAATATAAATGTAATTATTTAATTAAATATGAAATATTTTATATAAATCTAAAGATTCTGTAAATTTAGAATATTTAAAGCTTATAAGAGAATTTTAATTTAAGTTTATTAAAAATTAATATTTTGTTACTATAAGAAGAGAAATATTTGCCAGAACATGAATTATTATATAAAAATGACATGATGTGCAAATGCATTTTTTATGGATTTAGGTCAAGGTCATTTCTGTTAATTGTATAAATTATGTATTGTAGTTATAAGAAAAGTAAGATTTTAAACACTTGCCAAAATTTATAATTAAGAAACTAAAAATCTTTAAAATATGTAATAATTTTGCTGAAAATTGTATAATTTATATCTTTCTAAAAGTTGAATTTTTGCAGAAAATAATGTTTAACTTAATATTCACTGATTTAATTCTCTAACTGGGGTATCTGGCAATATTTATACATAATTAAATACTTAATTTTGATACTATATGATAATTTTATAATTATTATCTCAAATAATGTTAATAGGTAAAGCAAGTTATTCCTGTTTTAAATAATATTGAATATTTATTTTTAAGGGAGAGGATAATACATCTTCTAGCCTTAAGGCCATATAAGAAACCTGAATTGTTAACTAGGCTTATGAAAGGTTTGTTCTTAATTTTTAATCACATTTTTTGGATATATAAAATTTATGTTTAAATACAGCATGAAATTAATATGTAATTTAAGTGATGAACTAACATAAATTGTTTAAAATGTGAGCATCTTTTTCTCTTTGAAGGCAGAATAATTTCGGCTTAGACGTTCATTTCAAAAATAGTTTATGAAAGCTGGCTTTACCGTCCTATATTCAAATACAGTTTATCTTGGCAATGTACACTAATCTAAAATTGTTACTCAGTAATGTCTACAAAGATTAATAATTATTGAATTTTTCACATTTCTAATTTATTTACGTAATGCAAATTATTCATATACAATATTTTTCTCATTATTAGTTGAAACTATTTTTTAAAAAAGTAGCAAACTACCAAATAAATGTTTGCATTCATTTATGATTTTAAATAGTATTTCTTTTAAATTTGCATGAGAAAGTTATAATGTTATAACATGATTTAAAACTTCACTGCTAATCTGATCCTCATTCTGTGTAGCCAAAGAAAATGCTGTGACATATTGTGATACCTTGGTAATAAATTAACAAATACACAACAAACTCACAAAAAATCTTTTATTGAGGTTACAAAAATAAAAATTTTCCAAATACATTTGCATTAGTTAAGTTTAGTTAGGAGGGATATATTACCAATAAATACATGCTTTTAGTTTGTTTTAAGAAGTGTTGTTTGCTAATGTATTTTCCTAAAGATGTACATAATCAATGGAAAATTGTTGTACATAAAAGTTATTTTTGTGATTCCAGTGAAGTAATTTTTTTCTCTGAACTTTTTGAAAGGTTGCATGTTGTTTGAACTTTACACAAAAAAATAGCAGATTGAAGAAAAACAAAACCTTTTAAAAATATATCACTGTGTTTCAGCTAAGTATTAAGAGGATTAGGTCACTAGTTAAACATTTTCAAACAGAAAAGCAGTTTGTTTTTTTTAAGATTTCATATTTTAATTACTATATTTTACTATTTAGAACATATTATTGAATTGAAAATGTACATTAATGAATTTTATATACATTATTATGTACAAATAATTTACATTTCTATGTATTAATTTCTTATTTATCTTATATTTTATCTGATTTTTTTCTTTATTTCATAATCACATTATTTCCAGCACTGATAAATATTATGATAGGAGATAAATACCTTTAATATCTCTATAAATTAGTTCTAGGAATTCCAAATGTATTCTTTTTAATTTAATAAGCAACTTTGTAGAAAATGTTTCCTATATTCAAATTAAAAAAAACCAATAAATTTTATTATGAATAGAGGAGGAAGTTGTTGTATTTAATTATAGATATTAAACGTTAATACTCTTATATAATGCATACTGCAATGCCATTTCCTGTTTTCTCCATGATTTTATAGAATGTATAGTTCAAGAAAATAAAAATTATATTCTTAAATTAGGAATTTTAATAAAAAAACATTAAAACTTAGATAAACATTAAATCATAGTGAATCTTACATATACACAGGACTTATTTTATAACAATAAAATTTACAATGATTTATTTTTTCTGGAATAAGAAACAAAGATATTTTATGAGAAAATATTGCATATTGGGCTGTAATTTGAAAAACTTGTAGACCTATAAATTTCCACTATCTGTCTGTCCTTTTTTAATCTCAAGAATGGAGTTAGTTAGAGAAAAATGAGACCAGATACAGAAAACTTAAGGGCAGGAGGCCCTGATTAACTATATACAAACTTCTGATTTTCACAGGAAGTGATGATGTTTCAATTCAAAAATTTTCTCCTGAAAGGAGTTAGATAGATGACTAGCTCTATTGCTAACAGGAAAAATATGATGTTCAGGAGCAAGACACTACTAATTTGGGGTGAAAAACATATTTTAAATTAAATAAATTAAAAATATTATTAAAAATTTCAGCCTGGCATTATGACAATGTTACAATGAATAATTGCTCATTTACATATATCATTGATTTCTGTTTGTATAATTGTCTATTTTGGGTTTTGTTTATTAATAGGACTTATTACACTGATGTAGTTTCTGTTTAGCAAATAGAGGAGATCTTAGTCAAAACATCAAAATAAAATATCTTTATTTTCACCTGTTTTGATTTTTTGACTAATATCTCCTCTATTTGCTAAATGGAAACTACACCAGTGTAATAAGTCCTATTGATAAACAAAGTCTAAAATAGACGAGGATACAAGCAGAAATCAACAAAAGTAAGGACATAGACGCAAAAAGAATTAAATACATATACCATTATTTTTACTGAATTAAATGAAATTTTGCTTGATTTCAAAATTTTTTAAAATAAAAATTAAGGTTTAGGACTATATATTGTTACATTAGAAAATAAGTTGAAAGTGTAGAGAGTTTTTCAAAAAACTTATCATAGTGGATTTGTGGATTGAATGTTAAAATCATTCCTTTTAATTCAATTTTCATGAGATTAAGAATGTAACTTTAGAAATATTTAAAAATTATAATCAATTATGAGTTACTTGTAATTCAATACATATTATGTGTGACATTATTTTTAATAGTAATTCTGTGAATAGAATTTAGTTTCTAGCTTTTCTTTACTTCTGTATTATCAATTTTAAGATGGTGTTAAGGAAAAAGATAAAAAGAGTTTAGGAGTTATTTTAAGTCAAGTGGCTACTCTTAAAGACAACACTTACTCTTTGGCTCGCCATATATGGAATGAAGTTCAAGATGATTGGCCATTTTATACTCCTGAAGAACTTGAAATGATGAAAAGGTATGTTATTCCAGTGATAAATGTAATTTAGTTGCAAACTGTAGAATGGATTAAGAGTGTCAATTAATAACAATAATTAATTATTTTGTAGGAAAAAACCTCAAAATTTAACACCGCCAAATGAAAATGGTAATCACTCGCCATCTACGACTCAGCCAGGAAACTCGCCTGCATTACAAGTAATAATGTGTTGTTGCTTTTAACATATTCAAGATATTTAAAAATTTCAGTTTCTAAAAATAATATAAATTTTCTAGAAAAGGCCTCCTCCTCCTCCTGCTACTATTTATGAACATCAACCATCAAAGAAACAAAGGATATCTCATTATAATAAACTAGAAAGCCATAATATAAATTCGCACAGTTCTGGATCCATTACAAAACCAGACTCATCAGCTTCAACTATTATGAAACCCGATTCGCTTTCTCACTCTAGAAAAGACTTGTCTTCTAATGGATATGTCCGAAATAATTGGAATAATTCTTTAAAATCTGATCTAATTAGTCAAAAGTCACCCCTTTCTGAAAATAATAGTCATTTGAGAACCAATAATGCCACCAATGGTATGAGCCTACATGGTCATTCAGACCTCGAAAAAAATCATAAAAACTGGCCCGTGCTTCCTAATAGCCGGTTTGATTCAACATATCGGCCAGCGGATTCTTCACAAAATTACCTGTCTTCTAGACTCTCTCCAGATTCCAATACCCATCACCATACAGTTAGTTCAAATCATGAAATTCATAGTAAAATGAATGGTTATAAGGAAGAAGAAAGGCATAACAAAATCAGGCGGCCAAAGGTCAGTTCAACTACCAATGGTTCTGGTTCGGGGCATTCAACTCCTGTATCTAGTCCAGAAAGTAGGGACAGTTTGGATTCTAAGGGTAATTGTTTTGTTTTCTTATAAACCACAAGTATATTTATTTTAAAGAATGGATTCTTACAATTAATAATAATTGCAGATTCAAATAGTCATAACTATTCGCCAATAACTTCCAATAATGATATACCAGAGTACATGAAGTAAGTAGTTTAAATTCCTTATTCCTTTAAATGAAAATAAAAACAAATTGATGAAAAAATTATCTTGAATTTTAGGCTATTTCAAATGCAGTGAACTCCCTTACAATGCAAATTCATATAAGATGACAAAAGATTGCAACTAGTACGCATACAAAATTCTAATTTTTTCATGCAGAGTTGTATGATTTTCTTCAACTTCTAGGCCTAAGTTTAAACTTGCATAAAATCCTCTGATAATGCATGTCTCTATAACACAATTTCTTATAACGTGGAACATATTCCCTGCACTCCACTGTACAGTCATCATAAACTTAATAATTTGTCAACAAGTAATATTGCTATTGATATATTAGATGTTAGTAGGTTTTATGAAAGTTTAATGTCAGAAGTGAAATTTTAACTGATTAAGTCATGTATTTTATATTGAAAATAATTTAAAAATTGTTAATCATTAGTTTTGTCCGTGAAGAAATACCAAAACTATTTGGTATTTTAGTCTTTGTGTATGTAATTTTTACTCAACTAGTTAGACAAAGACTAGAAGAATACAGGCAGAAAATTTCAATAAAGAAATGTGGACTAAACTAATATAATTTTCTAAAGAAAAATCTGCATAAATAAAGGAAAAAGTATCACCTTTTATAAAAACCAGCTAATAACTACACATAAAGTACTATATATATAGTATATTAACAGATGTATAGATTTGAATGAGGGAAAGCAGTAAAAATTTTTTGATTTAGTTATATTAATTAATTATAATTAGATAATAATTAAATTTTATAAAAATACTATTGCATGATAATTAAAATGTGAAGATGGCTGTAATTTCAAATTTACACATTTAGAAGAAACACTTAAAAGTGTCTTCACAATTCATTCTTGTGATAGTTCTTCTTAGTTATGAAAGGAAACAAATTGTGAAGTCACTTTTACTCTAATTTAGTGCATTCTTTGAACTTGCAAATTTTAATATTACACAGATTTTCTATATAATTATACTTTTCATTTAATGCACATGGCATAAGTTCTTTTTTAAGAGTATAAATTTCTCTATTCAATTGAATCAATCATTCACTTTTCAAATGAAATTCAGTACTGATTTTTATTTCTAATTTACAAGTAGAAATAATGATTATCTTTTACTTAAAATGTTCTATTTAACAAGATTATAAGAACTAGTATGTGTCTCTGTAACAAAATAAACTTTGTGTCAATCTTAAGTTTTTCTATTATTTATGCTTTTCAGTATCTTTAAATAAAATTATTTTTATTAAATTATAAAAAATTTCTATTTTTATAGGACATATGTGGTCATATCAAATGGGGAACAACGGGCTCGGTATAAGGCCGACTTCAATACTGAATATACTGAATATTTAAATCTGCATTCTGCGATAACTAGTGTATCCAATAAATTTGCTGCACTTGATGACAGTTTCCATAGGTCAAAGAAAGGATCTGATGAATGGCATGTAAGTATTAATAGATGCTTTTTGAACCCAAAAAGCAAGTTTACTAAATTCAAACTTTATTTCATGTGTGGGCAAGAAATTTTATTTCAAAATTTGCAATATATGTTGGGTTATTCAGAAAGTTTATAGTGATTTTTAAAAGAAAAGAAATGGCTTTAAAACTAAAAACATACTTTTATTCAATTATGTATGCACCTTTGTTTTTTAATGATATGTTGCCATCTACAGGGAAGCTTCATAATACTCTCTTCATAGAACTTCTTAGTTTGTCCTGCAAAAAACTGTTCCATGTGGTTTTTGGAAGTTTCCAAATTATCAAACTTTTCATTACAAAAAGAATTCTGCAGAGCCTGGAACAAATGGTAGTCCAGAGGAAACATCAAATGAGTAAGGGAGTGGGGTAAAACAAAACATATCAGCCTAGTATCAATAATTTTTGGCATGTTCGTAAAGAAATGTGCAGTCTGGCATTATCTTGATGAAAAACAATGCCTTTTCTTTTGACTAATTCTGGATGTTTTTCTTCTGTTATCATCTTCGGTTGATCCAGTTTGGAACAATATTTATCAGAATCAATTGTTTGATTATATGGGAAACAGCTCATAGTACAGAATTCCTTTCCAGTCCCACCAGACTGTGAGCATGACCAATTTTGAATGAAGCCTGGCCTTTGGAGTTTTTAATGGTGATTTGTTTTTCTTTTCCCACAATTGTTTTTGGCTGATGTTATAAAGAATCCGTTTTTCATCACCTGTCACTAGACATTTCAGTAAAGGATCATTTTTATTTTGAAGAGAATCACAATTGGAGATGTAATCCACTAAGTTCTTCTGTTAAATTGTGAGGTATCTAAATGTAATGATTTACGAGGGCTGTTCGGAAAGTTCGCGGCCTTGCCTATATGCGGCGCTGCGATCAATTTTATTTTTGGCGGGAATAATTCAGCCATCTGTGCTAGAGATACGATACCAATTTCCGCTTGATTTGTCAAAAAGTTTTGCCACGACAGCTTAGCAGATAGTCAGTGTGCACATGCTTTGTCAAAAATGGAGAAGACGGAGACTCGTGCGGTCATAAAATACCTGACGAAAAAAGGGTTGACCCCATCTCAAATCAAAGCTGACATGGATGAAGTTTTAGGAGAGTCTGCTCCTTCGTACACCACTGTGAAAAAATGGACAGCCCTTTTTAAATCTGGCAGAGAAAGTGTGGAAGATGACCCTCGCAGCGGACGGCCGTCAACTGCTGTCACTGAAGAAAACATCGACAAAGTTCACGATTTGGTATTAGCAGATCGCCGTTTGAAAACGCGTGAGATAGCTGAGACAACAGGCATCTCTGTCGACCGAGTGCACCACATCCTAACCGAAGATTTGGGTATGACGAAGGTCTCAGCAAGGTGGGTGCCGCATCTGCTGACCGCCGAGCAAAAACGTGTTCGCACTTTGATGTCAAAGGAGTGTTTGGACTTCTACCAGAAAAACCCACAGGATTTCTTGCGTCGGTTTGTGACTACTGACGAAACGTGGATCCATTACTACACTCCTGAAACAAAAGAACAGTCGAAGCAATGGAAACACCACAGTTCGCCACCACCAAAGAAGGCAAAGACAGTTCCATCAGCGGGTAAAGTGATGGCCTCGGTTTTTTGGGATGCTAAAGGCATCATCTTTATTGACTACCTAGAAAGAGGAAAGACCATTAATGCTGTCTATTACTGTGAACTTTTGGAAAAACTGAAGAAAGAAATCGAAGAAAAGAGGCCACACTTGAAGAAGAAAAAAGTTCTGTTCCACCACGATAATGCACCTGCACATTCCGCCAGAATCACTGAACAAAAGATAAACGAACTTCGCTTCCAATTAGTTCCACATCCACCGTACTCACCTGATTTGGCCCCCAGTGACTTCCACCTTTTTCCAAACCTAAAAAAATTCTTGGCTGGAAAGAGATTCCACTCAAATGACGAAGTCATCTCTGAAGTGAACGAGTATTTTGCACACCTTGACAAATCGACCTATTGTGATGGCATAAAAAAGCTAGAACATCACTGGAATAAGTGCATTGCTAACAAAGGAGCCTACATTAAAAAATAAAAAAGTTTTAACATTATTTTGTTTGTTGTTCTATTTGAGGCCGCGAACTTTCCGAACAGCCCTCGTACATATCCAAACTTCATCTGATGTTGAAATGTGGTACTGTTCAATGACTTCACTATATCTGCTCTCTCAAGCTGTGTAAACAAGGATTGTTGTCCAATAATATTTTGATATGGTCCTCTTCAATAATGGCAGGTCTTCTTGAGCATGGAGCATATTCAAGGTTGAAATTACCTACTTTAAATGTAGCAAATCACTTTTGAACAGTTGACTCTGCTACATCATCATCTCTATAGACATCACATATATCTTTTGCTGTTTGTACAGTATTTTTGCCATAAGAAAAGAAACAAGCATTGAAAATGCAACTTACTTATTTTCACAAGAAAAATTAAACATATGTTACAAAAAACTTTTAAGATTATTTAAATTATTTTAATAGATTTCTTACAACAGACATTTAATTTGTCTTATAATGGAAAACATCATTTTTTGTAATATTCATTGATTCATACAATTCTAGTAATTTTTGCTTCACCTAGTGTCTCAACTGTTGGATATAAAAATTACTATGAACTTTCTGAACCACCCAATATAAAGAACAAATTTTTTTAAAGACTAAATTCTTAGTTTAGAAGATTTAAACTAAAATTAAATTTCACTTACAGCGGATACGAAACCAAATTTTAAAAGAATATGAAGAAAGTCAGAAAGATCGGAAGTATCAGGAGGCTAAGTGTCGTTTTCTATACTTGCATGACAAGCTCTCTCATATCAAGAGGCTAGTGGCTGAGTACGATCAAGCCACGCAGACCATGAAGTCGTAGCAGTTGCCACCAAGTTTTCTCTTTGACCACTCGGGAACATAAATAAGTAAATAAAAGAAACGTGATCGAACTAGATAAATCAGGAGCAGTCATTCCTTTTGTTCATTGCCCCTGTTTTTTGTGAAAAATTGTACTTGTACTGTAAACAAAGGAAAAAAAAAACAGTATTTTGTTTGCTGTATTTTGTAAATTTGGTCAGTGATAATACGGAGACATTTTAACTTAATTTCCCTGTGAAGAAATATTCCATGTGTTTGGATATGTGTGAATATAAAAAAAAGTTTGCATGAGTGATTGGATTGTGTGGTAGTCCCTCCTTCTGCCATTTTACATTTGTTCATTTCCTCTTTTTCACTGAATGATCTACAATTTGGACCAGAGTCATGCTTGATAGCAGATAGCTAAGTGTCACATGGCCAAATTAATGTAATGAGGGCTGACTGTGCCACACTGCCAAACACTAATGTTAAATGTTCTTACATAGACACTGTTAACTTTTTAAAAACAAAAATCCAGAAAATGAAAATTGTTATCAAAAACTGTGTTTGTTGGGAGAAAATCCTAATGTGTAAATAGTCTTTAATTCTGATATTTTGTATTTATAGAATCCAATTGAAAGGTCTGTGGTGTATTACCAAAAATATATACATTATATATATATATATCAAAAATTGAAAAAAAATTAAAGTTGGAATTTAAAAATTTTTAGAATCGGTTGACAAAACATTAAATTTGTTTGCATGGAAATCTTTTTAAAAATTTACTTATTATGGTTAAAAAAGAATTATATTTAAATTGACAAATTTGTTTAGTTTTAAAAAGTTAAAATTGTTTTTAGTGACGACAAACTTTCAAAAACAAAGTTAATCTTGCAATACTTGGAGGATTGATAATCCCATTGTTATTTAAAAGTGCCAATATATTGTTCTCAAAAATTTAAGTTTATGCCAGAGTCTATTGAGCAAAGTTTTTCGAAACAATACCTACACTGCACTTACGAATTTGCACAAGTTTGAGAAACTGCCATGGGTTTTTGGTAAAGCTCCACTAGACCACATTTGTTATCTTGGCAAACGAGATAATAATTTTAACTAGAGGGTTTAGAAATTTGATAAATTATTTTATACTATTTCAAAATATTATTTAAAAAAAATACCGATAAATTTTGTTCTGTTACCTTTATTGTGCTTGGCATTCAGATTACGTTAATCATCGTATCTGCCAAAGTTGTAAATTATTTGTAGAGTTAAGAGATCTGATACTTATTCTTTAAATTATTTATAGTAGTAGTGTTTCCTTCCAGTTAACACTTCCAATATTAGGAAGAATTTTTTTTCATTTGAAACAATTCTTGGATTATGGAAAAATCATCCAGGCATTTCAACAATGAATTAGTAAAAATAATTTTTCTTTTTTTAATGAAAAAAGATGCTAGTCAACTGCAACTAAAGTGATCCAATGGCTACTTTCCATGTAAATTTTTCCTTTATTGCATTTTTTATTTTATTATTATTATTATTATTATTATTATTATATTATATTATTATTATTAATATTATTATTTACTTTTTGCCTGACTTTCAAAGTCATTTGTCTACTTTAAGATAATAGAATTTAAAGTGTAGAAGGAGAAAGCCATTGACATTCTACCAGTTTGCTAGCTCATTGATGACCTGTGTCCAATTTTGAAAATTAATAGTTGCCTGGAAATGTAATGATTTGCAACAATTTGAAAAGTGGCTGTGTTAGACTTTAAGGTGGTAATTTGCTCATCGTTTTTTTTTTTTTTTTTTTTGAGGAAAGAATTTAAAATATCCATTCTAAACGATTATTTATGTTGACGATCGGAACGGTTAAACGACTCAATCCCATAGGCTTTTTTTTTCTTTATTTTTTGTAATTTCTTCCGTGCGCAAACTTGATGAATGTGCCTTTCTTTATGCTGTAATATATTGTCTTGTCTGTGGGGAAGCGAAAGGGAAGTAATCTTTGTGATTCTTCTTCCTCTTTCTGGTTTCTTCTTCCCCCTTCGGTTTTATTGAAGGACCAAAACAAAATTATTTTTCTCTTTAATTTATCAAGCCAGGGATGAACTGTTTCCTATAAAATTATACTGTAGGTGTTATATAAATGCTTTATTGCCAATATTTAATCTGTTGCCTTCATCTAGTACTTAGCAGCATATAAAAAAAGACAAAAAATTTTGGAAAGTAATAATTCACATACTATGCATCCACATTTGTAGGCTTACAAAGCTCTATGCAATGTTAAAACTGCATATTTATAAATAAATAAAAAGTTAAGTGTAAAATGGGCATTCAGTTTGTAGTGTTTCTCTTGACAAATATTTTTCTTTTATTAATAATTTTTATTATTATTTAATCCCCTCCTTCCTTTGGTGGACTTTGCTCAATACAAATTATATTCTTGGCAAGTTTTGAAAATTCACTTTTATGAAATTTTGATGGGCTTAGTCCCATGTGATCTAGAGATGCACTCGGAGAATGGAAGGCGAAGAGAATGCCCATAGAAGGATTGTTATTTGTCTATGTAGTACTAATGTTAAAAAAGGGGGTTTTGTGGCCTAATGTTCATGTCAAGTTGCATATCAAGTGCCATTACCAGATCTGCAAGCTTTTATGCAGCTGGGGAAGCGATTTAAAATTATGGTTGTATAATTTCATTCTGGATAACTTCAGAGCTAAAAAAAGGGGGATTATTGTAAAAATAAACAAATATATATATACATATATATATATTATAATAATAAAAATTCCCTGTGTATAGTGTGAAAATATTTAGAAAAATGTTTTATGGTGCTTTTCTGATGACTGCAGCCTTCATATTAATTAAAACTAAAATTTACTTGGTTTCAATAATTTAGGCCTTACATACAACATTCTTAAACAGAAATAAGACAAAAAATAAATTTTCTTGTGGTGTCCTTTGGTAAGGAGTTAGGTCACACAAACAGTATTGCATGCTTTCCTCACTACCACAGTTCACCATAATAATAATGTAATTATGAGGAGAGCTGCACTAATCATAAAAGCATCATAACTGCCGCTCCAAAGTTGGAACGGTAGTTTGGTTGGAAAACCAAACGAATGTACACAAGACATGAAAATAAATGACCTACTGCATGCAGCATTTTTGTTTGTAATAATTTAAACTCAATTATACATTCTACAGATACTGTATATCAATATGATAATTACATTGTTGCAAATATACTACTACTAACAATAATTTGATTTTTTTAACCATATTACTTATATTTAATGCTAGTAAAAGTGGTTAAAATTTTTACTGAATCTCTTCATCTATGATCTAAATTAGATCATTGATGATCACAGTGGTCCAGAAGTAGAAGTAAATGTAAGAGATCAAGAGACAAGATTTGTCATCAAAAATATTTACTGATACCTGTCCTTTGGATCTACATTAATAAGGAAATTAATTAGTATTAAGAAAATTGTCTTTTTCCTCTTATATAAATGAATTCTACGAAAGTCTTATTTCGGAAGACTCGTTTATGAAATGCAATATTTATTTTAATTAAATATATTTAAAATAAATTCTTTCCCATTCCCCTTTAATTACATGTACAATACTTTGTGGACCCCTCCTGACATGGAAGAAACAACTTAAAAGACAGTTCTGCAAATATTTTCTGACAGGTTATTTACTTGAGTAGTATGTAGGTTAATAAAAAAGTTGTACGACACTAAAACCACTTTAAAAAGTTCCTCTCCTCAAAACTGCACAGGCGATGGGTACCATAACTGGATATATATCACATTACAAATGTCTTCACTGTATTTTTTGCCATAACGTTGCATAAGAGAGAGAAAGTAAAAATCAATAAGCATATACCGATATACTGGTAGATATTTAGCAAAGTTAGTAACCATACGTTGCGAAGATTATTGTTCAGTTGGAGGCTAGGATTAGTAGTTTAGTACAGACAACCATGATAGAGTTTGTTGCTTAATAAAGGCATCAGTTGTAGTTTGAGTACAACAATTTTTGTAAATGGAATTCAGTAGAATTTCATCGATAAAACTAAGATTTACGTCATTTTCCTACGATAAGTTTAACATCCACATTTTAATTAGTGTTACCACCCGTCCAGTTTTCACCCGGACAGTCCGGGAATCGACTCACTGTCCGGGTGAACTACTGATTTTGTCCGGGAATATCGTGTGCAACCTATCGGCCTTTTTTTTCTTGTACGATTCGTATTCGTACGTCTCCACTATCCAATAGAGGTAAGTCATCTGTAGTTTTTTCTTAATTTAGTTGCTTACGTTACTCCTACTCAAGTCTCCCTAGTCCCCAACTGTAACTGATTTAGAACCGGCATGCATTGCACGTTATTCTTCGCATTGCAAAATGACAGTGCGCATGCGTCAGAAACTTCTGTTCGAACAAACACCTGCCGTCCGGATCAGCGATTTTGAAAAGGTGGCAACACTACTTTTAATGGAGTCTGATGTGAAGAAAACCACGCGAGCAGCCCGTTGGCGAGGTACGAACCCACGACCAAATACCAATGTTCAGTGGTTTTATCCACTTGGCCGTAGGTGGGCTGTGGGCTCGGGTAAAGTGACCCCACGTCCCGATTTTGGCGGGACAGTCCCGCTTTTTGGTGGGCTGTCCCGCGTCCCGCCGATTTTTAAAAATGTCCCGCTTTTTAGAAAATATCTGCATTTCTTATTTTAAATGTACTGTAAAAATATATTACCTATTATTTATTAAGTATTATGGTGAATATAAAGAAATAAAAAATACATAAAAAAACACATAAAATGCATGCAGAGTAAACTAAATTAGGCAATGTATCGAGTGGTGTTCGATCATTGTCGTTACGTCTCGGCTTAATTCAGATAAGTGCAGACAGTGAGGACTGCCGTTAGACAGTGCGGTTTGTTGTTTTCAATTTGACGTTCGGTTTGACTCATTATTTGATTGACGAACGTAGAGCAATAGTCGCCACAACGTAACGGTCAATAAGGTAAAATTTAATACTCTTTTTTAGCCTTTGTAGTAAATTTTTTATTTATTTCTAGTATTTACCCACAGAATAAAAGATGAGTAAAAAAAGAGAATGCAAATTTAATGAAGAGCTAAGCTGAGAATTTCCATTTATTAAAAAAACCAAAATAGACTATATGGTACGATGTGATAAATGCAATGCTGAATTTTCGGTCTCACATGGTGGAAAAAACGATATTACTAAACATCTAGCGACAAAGAGGCACAAAAGATTTTTCAATAATGCCGCTTCCTCGTCTAAAATGGAACAGTTTTTTCGCAGTGCTAGCTTTGGCAACATGGAAAAACAGCTAGCATTAGCGGAAGGGCTATTTGCTTTCCACACCATAAACCACAATCAAAGTTTCAGATCAATGGATTGTACATCGCAAATGATCAAAATATTATACGACAAAAAATTTGCATGTGCAAGGACAAAAACCAAAGCAATTATTTGTAATGTTTTTTCACCATATTCGTTTTCACAATTGCAGAAAGAATTAGCGCATTTATATCCATATATTCTGATGCTTCCAACCACAAAAATTTAAAATTATTTCCCACAATTGTTAGATTTTTGATCCAGAAACAGGAATTAAAATTAGAATATTAGATTTTGTTTCATTGCCGGGTGAAACTTCACAAATAATTTTTGATTCAATAAGTACTGTTTTAAAAAAGAATAATTTGAACAATAAAATTATTACCTATTGTGCGGATAACACTAACGCAAATTTTGGTGGAAAAGCTAGAAGAGGCATCAATAACGTTTTTACGAAACTTAACGAACATTTGAACCAAAAAATTATTGGAGTAGGTTGTGCAGCTCACATTCTACATAATACTATTCAAACAGCATCTGACTTACTTTCAGTTGATGTTGAAAATATTATTGCAAAAATTTATTCGTATTTTTATATATATACTGTGCGTGTTGAAAGTTTGAAGGATTTTTGTGAAAGCGCAGAAATCGAATATAAAAGAATTCTTGGTTACAGCAAAACACGATGGCTAGCTCTTTTACCAGCTGTAGAAAATATTTTAAAAATATACGAACCATTAAAATCATACGTTTTATCACAAGATAAATGTTCAAGAATATTGCAGCTCTTTTTTGAAAATGACACATCACAAATTTGGCTTCAGTTCATCCACAACCAAGCTACATTATTTCACAATGCTGTGAAAATTATTGAAGGAGACAAAATTTCAATTACGGAAGTGTCAAATGAAATCAATAAATTTAAAAACAAAATTACGAGAAAGAATTGATAACTATTACATTCCTTTAATTATTCGAAAAGACATCACTAGGTTGGAAGAACAAGGTACCATTAAACGACCTGATTTTCTGAAACATGTCAAAAATTTTTATAATAACTGCTTGGAATATCTTGAAGAATGGACAGTTCAATTCGAAGATATTAAAAATTTTCATTGGGTGACATTAAAAAAGGATATTTTATGGGAATATGTGGAAAAATCTTTTGAATATATTAGTAACCATTTTCCGAAAAATAATATTTGCGAAAATGATCTTTTTGATTGTCATTGGTAAAAAGATATGTTACAGATGAAAAAATTAAATGTTGGTTGTCTGCAAATGTGGAAACAGACAAAAAATGGACGGAGTTATTCCTTCATTTTAAACAGAATAATATTCCTTATCAAAATATTTTGANCAATATATATTATATATATATATATTATATATATATTTCGTTTTATTTTAATTAATTTTGTTAGGCACGAATTTCATTACAGAAAAGTTGTTTGATTTTATTTAATTGAAAACGCAAAACATGATAAAAATGTATGTACAGGTACCGTGACACTTTATTATAAATATGGGAAGTAAATGCAAAATTTCAAACTATTAAGCGATTACTTAATTCTTCAACAAGTTCCTCAGCATTTAAACTTTCTTCGCATTCTGCGCAGTTCACCGCCACCAGGATCGCTTCTTAACCTGTAGGCGTTTAGAAGTGATACTGTATAATGCACTGTCTCATAACGCTCTGTAATGCTACAGCAATGCAGTGCGTTATGAGAAGTAGGGTTGCCAACTTTCTTGTACAATAGAGGAGGACATTGCACGAGTAAAAAAATGTTGCTAAGATAATGATTTAAAATAATTTAATGCATATAACATATACAATATATTACACATTTGTTGACTACCTGTATATTATAAAACATTAAGTAGACAAAAAGTAGGTTTTTAAACTCCGTGTTAAAATTACGATTTGTTATACAATGTCACATTAATCGAGTCTCTAAATTTTATTCACTTGGCCTACTCAGATTAATACTGTAATAAGTTGATTCAGTAAATGTCTCTTCAATCCGATGTGATAAGTTCTTTCTCCTTCTGTTACTTTAGTGAGTGATAAACACGAAAGTATTACTTTAGGAGGTAGAATATTGGAACGTCACCTGCCGGTTGGAACTATTTCAGAGAGAAAATAAAATTAAACGGGCGATTATTTATTGAGATAGTCACAATGCCGGGCTGCAATTTTTTATCATATTTTTAATTTATTTTATTTAAAGTATATGTATGCTCTCCACCTCAAATTAGTAGTATTTTGCCTCTCCATCATACTTTTCCTTTAACAATAGTCGTGCCGATCATGCATTAACTGCTTTCAGGGAAACTTTTGAATTGAAATAATAACGTGACTTCCGGAGCAAACCGGAAGTTCATATATAATGAATGGGGCCTCCTGAACCTAAGATTTCCAGGCCGGATGTCCGAGCGGTCAAGGTGGCAGCCCACTGCTCTCGGAGACCCGGGATCGAATTCGGACGGGTCAAGGAATCCCCAGGAATTTTTTGGGTGGTGGTCCGTTCGGATATGTCGGGCCCCGTCCCTCACCATCCGGCCGCCCCATTGTTGGCCTGGCCGAACCCATAATGGGCCTGCTATAAGAGGCTCTCTTAGTGCCCACAGGGCGGAAAGAGTAGAAAAAGACCCTAAGGTTTCCATATATAGTCTCAGATTTCATCTATCTAATACCTCGAGATTAAGGAAAGACAGACAACAGTGAGAATTTATAGGTCCTTTTTCAAGAATTCATAGGCGCATTTTAAACTAACGATTTTCAAAAA